ATTTTTAATTTTTTTCGTCGCGCTGCTGATGACGTCACGTACGCGCTTTCGTCAAGCGCGCTTTTGTCTACCACGGTTTTGACGGGTCGCGGAGAACCACTGGCTGATATTAATCTACTACTAATGTAGTCAGTGTTACATGATGACACATCCCTGTCCAGGCAGAGGTATTTAGAAACGAAAAATGCCCTGGTCCTGTGCCAAACCTCACCCACCCACCTCCCACTTCCTGCTGTGGAGTCTTCTCAAGCGCATGGACACATTTAAGCCTTTGCAGGATCAGAACCCGCCCCACCCCCCTCTGAGCACCTCCACTCAAGAACTGCATTCAAAGAACTGAAGCCACACATGATCTCATCCATTGGTCCCCCTGCAGCTAAGGTGGACTGCAGAGAACTTCATCAGAAGTTGCAAGGTCCACTTCTCCTCCACCCTGCCCCAGATATAAGATGCCACCTTTCCTGCTTCTACTGTTTCTGCCAGGGAGAGGCCAATAGACCCAAACCACCCATTCTGCCCCTGGAGGAGAGGCAAGGGGGCTTTCCCACTCTGCACCACCTCCGTTGCTCTTACCTTGCTGACGATATTCTGCTGTAGGCCCGCAGGGATCCGGTGGTACCTCTCACTGCAGTGGCAGTAACTGTCATTCTTTCCCTCGGGAGTGGGCAGCTCCGGGGCGGCCAGGATGCCCCTACTGTAGCTGCTGCTGTGGTTGTAGCTGGGGCTGGTGGTGAGACCCCTGGGGGGCGGCTGCGGGGGGAACTCGCTCCAGTTGCCCTTCCCATCCGTCCCCTTGCACCGAGAGATGGGATGCACCAAGAGGAAACTGTCCGAGAACTGGCTGAAGCCGATGAAAAGCGCCGGGATCCAGGTGAGGAAGATGAGGGCTTTCTGATGCCCGCCGCCCAGGCGACCCAAGAAGGGCAGCACGGAGCCGTCGTAATCCAGAAGCAGGGGGCTGCAGGAGCCGGAGGGAGGCGTGGGGAGAGGCAGGCTCTGGATCTCCGCCGGGAGACCCCCCGCAGGAGGGGCGACCGGGGCTGCCGGGTCCGCCTCCCCGGCAGGCAAAGACCCGTTTTCTTCGGGGAGGGGTCGGCCCCCTCCGCCGCCCTCCTCTCGGCGCCGCTCAATCGCCATCCAGCCGCAGGAGGAGGAGGAGGAGGAGGAGGAAAGGCGAGCTTACATAGAGGGGAGCCGGGGAGGCGGCGCCCGGGCCACGATCCGCGGGCTGGGAAGCCGGAGGGAAGGCTGGGCTGCGGGAGCCTCGGCTGAGCCGCGCATAGGGGACCGGCCGCTCTCAGACGCCCCCCTTGGCTTCGCCTCCTTCCCCAAGCCCGCCTCGGCCGCCACACCCAGCGCTCCCCTTCCCACGTTGCCCTACAAAACCTCCCCGCGTCTCCTTCGCTTCTTCCCGGACACGCGGGTGCCGTGCCTTCGGCGGCTGCCGATCGCCGGCCGGGGCGGGCCCCTAGCAGCCCGCCGGGTCTACGGAGAGAAATCGGATCTCAAAGATCTCCTTCTGGTGGCGGCGCGGGTCCCTAGCCAGCCCGAGCTACCGCCGATTAAGCACGCCGGTGCGGAGGGAGGGAGGACGGGCGGACGAGATCCCTTCGCCGAGGCTCGAGCGGGCGGAGCGTCGGAAGGAGCCGCATTCGCTGCGCCCAGCCAGCGCGGGATCCGCTCCTCTCGCGGCTGCGGATCGCCTCCTTTCTNTTTTCTCGGCGCGCTTTTGTCGTGCGCGCATTTGTCGGTGAACCGTATTATGTATGTTCACTGCCTTGAGTTTGTTTGTTTGTTTATATTTCTTATTTCTAAACTGCCCATTTTCTTCAGAGGATTCTGAATGGTGTACAATATAATCAAGTTATTTCTAAAGTGATCAAGGTGAGATAAAAAATATCTAATCAATAAAATAAATAAATCCAATCTAAGTGAAACAGATATTAAGTCTAAGACTTGCTGAAACAAATTATGCAAGGTGTAGAATAAGAACAGTTAATGTAGACTAAGAAACGTTTTTCCGTGTCATACAGAAAAAGCCCTTAGGTCCATTTTTAAATCAAGTGTACCTCTAGCAGAGGTGGGATGTGCAGAAGTTGATTTTTTTCTTAAACAGGGATCTTAGACTTTTACTTCAACTCCCACAATTCTTTTCCACGTAAATGGAAATTGATAGGAATTGAGGTCTGAAATATCTGGAAAGGATCAGCTTACCAGATCAATGAATGAAATGGATTATACAGACTGAATCAGTCTTTTAATAACTATCAATTGGAATTGTATATGCAATTGATCTGCCAGCAGAATTACAGCCTCCAAAAAACTTAAGTAATCAGTCTCAGGTTGCATTTTAAATCAGATAAAATTTCTGAATATTTCTTCCAGATGGGGCTCAGTTAATTCCGTGGTTTACAATGGACATAGATATTCCAGATCACTGTCACCAAGTGACAATTCAAATAGTCGAACTTTACCTCCAGTCCATCTCACAATGCTTGGAATTCATATCATAGGATCAGTTCCAATGCCTGTAAATCCATGGGTAATCTGCTGTTTGCAACCTCTATGACCTTCCAGGACTTGAATAGAAAACATAATGAAAACTTCATGTTTTCAACACAGTACTGATTAGGTTACGTACATGTTTGGCATCTGGGAAGTTCCAACTGTGATACGATTTATAGAAATCTTAAAATATACATCTTAACCATATGAAATTTCAATGTATTTTAATTTGCACCCATGATGGCCAGGTTCCAAAACACACTTTGTATTTTACATTGTTGTTTTCATTATTATGAGTGCTTTGATCTCAGGATGTTTTCGCTGCTTCAGTAAAAGGTAATGTGTACTCTCTTAACTGGCATAAGAATGGCATGAATGTGACATGCAAAAAGGGTGTGAACCAGAGGTGGTATTCTACCGGTTTGGACCAGATTGCCTGAACCGATAGCAGAAATCGCAGGTGGATGGAGGCACCCACGCCCGGCTTTATGGCATCCCCTTTAGGCCCTTTTTTCACCAAAAGCACATGCACGGAAGAATCTGTGCATGCATGGAGGTGGCACGTGCGCTCACATTTGTGAACCGGTAGGGAAGTTAAGTGTTTACAATCCCTGGTATGAACACCTAATGTTGAAGATTACTGAGTTTATTAGAAATTTGTATATTAGAAGTCTCTCTCCCTCTCCTCCCTCCCTCCCCCCTCTCTTTCTCTCTCTCTCACACACACACATGCTGTCTCATCATCAGTTGACTCCAAATACAAATCTTTGTTTTGTAAGCCTTAGAAAACTTTGTAATCAGAACAACCCCTTCACCTTCTCATACTATGACTTGCTTCGCTTGCTCTCTGTCAGCGTTCCAAGTATCATGTAGAATTAAATCAGAGTCCAAGGCAAAACGATCCTTAAA